CCTGGACGCCTCCCTGGTGAGGTGTTCTGGGCATGTCCCACCGGGAGGAGGCCCCGAGGAAGACCCAGGACACGCTGGAGAGACAGTTTGTCTCGGCTGGCCTGGGAATGCCTTGGAGTTCCCCTGGAGGAGCTGGAATAAGTGGCTGGGGAGAGGGAGGTCTGGGCCTCCCTTCTGAAGCTGCTGCCCCCGCGACCCGACCCCGGATAGGCGGAAGAAAATGGATGGATGGATGGATGGACAGATGAGTGGGAAAAAGCGTCTTACTCCTCTGAGAGCAGAATAAAAAAAAGAAAGATGTTATTTTCCAGGTTTGACTGAATCGGATAATTTTGTCTTTTCTCATCATGAGTTTATTTTAATCTGAAGCTTCAGGACTAGCAAGAGACGTACGACCAACAATTTTCACTCAGGTTACTGGGGCAGTTAACAGCAGCTAAATGTTTTTTTTTACACAAATAACATTTTTTATTTTTATGAAAGTGGATTATCATGGTTGTTTTTCTCTGAAAAGACCACATGTTAAATAGAAATATATGAAATACACTGATCATTGACATTAACTCAGTTTTTTAAAGGGATAGTTAGTGATTTGTTTTTACATCATGCATTAATGATTAAATTGCTGATTGACCTTGGCCCAGTTTTTAGTTCATCTCTTCTGTGAATAAATACATCGTTATTAATTTAGTTAGTTTAATCTGCCTGTTTCCTCCATTCTACATGAGCACCACACACTGAAGGTACTTCTGTTCCAAATTTGGTCATTTTTAATCTTCATTGCAGTCCTACAACGACTGGATAAATCCTCTTCATTTTGTTGATGAAAAGTCCATCACAGTAATGGAGGGTTGAGTCGAGGTGGGAACACAATTCTGATTATTAAATAGTAAAACGTCAACATACAATAATTTGATCATACAAAATATATGAACACGTGATCAAACAAGTTCTTTAAGGAGTTTTAAACTAAAACCATCTAATGATGAGAAATAAATGGGTTTTGGGTACATCCAGACCCATCAGCTGTACCATGAACCTGGCTGCTGACTATAATGACATATTAGCAAGATCTTGAGATTCTGTGGATTGTTATCAACCTCCTACATCTCACTGTTGATGTGAAGCATTTGTTTGCTTTAAAGCACCTGTGACATCATTTTTTTTGTAATAAACATGAATGCGTTTTTTTTTAAAGATAACACTGATAAAATATTGCAAAACAAATTTCACACCACTGAGATGAACAGTTGTTGAGATATTTGTAGTGTAAGTAACAGGAAGTGATGTCAAAGGAGAATGTCTGCATGTGAACAGATCGTTGTTACAACAGCTAACAACACAGACTGTGGAGAAGAATCTGATGTTTTTTAAGATTATTTTGAGTTTCTATCAAAGAGAGATGAAGAAGAGTTAAAGTTTAA